AAGTTCCCACTCATTGTTTTCTGAAGCCAGACCGGGATGAGCTCGGTTACTCGGTACCGCTGTTGTCTCTGCGTAGATTTGGCGTGGGGAGACAGCGGTTTCTTCACCGGTGGTATCGGCAACCGGGGGATTATAAGAACAAGGATGAGGTCAGCTGCGTAGTAGGTGCGCTTAACGGCCGATTTTAGGAGCTTGGTAATCAGGCAGCGACTATCGTCACCTTTAAAGGACAGTTCCAGGATTACTTTCATCTCATCTGAACCTGGTGTCTTTGTGGTGATCCAGGCCTACACGATTGCGCCTGCCCTGGAGCGGCCCGTTACACTTTCAGGACATTTGCGATCAATCAAGTTTGAATGCTGACGTCAATGACACGTGCATGGCTTCTCAATACACGTCATTGGTGGATGGTGCCAGCCAATCCAAGACAACGCAGACAGAAGCAAGATTATGCAAGCAGTACCGCAATCCGATTGGTGAAAGCCCAGACAGCCAATAATCTCACTTTGTACATATTATTTAATCACATTCATTTCTTCCAATAAACCAACTAATTACTGCCAGTCCTGTGGCCTTGTCCTCGCGTCTCGTTCTCGTGAGACATTGCGAATCCGTGCCATTGTGGTTCAGTGCTTCTGTGATCCAGTCCGTGATAGCTGATTATTGATTCGTGTCCAGTGATTCATATTGTGTGGTTGGTGTTCCGAATTTCTGCGTATAACTACTACTATTAAAATCATCACGTTCTTCCCGAGTTCAAATGTGGATGCTCGGCCATCTACATCGGCAGAACGCAGAGACAACTGCGGTACCGAGTAACCGAGCTCATCCCGGTCTGGCTTCAGAAAACAATGAGTGGGAACTTCGGAAGTATGAGGTCACCAATGACGTGTAGGAAACTCATTTCGTTGATTACACAACACCCGGTCGAAATGAAACACTGTGTCATGCTGCGTGACGCGTTCAGAATCCTCTACAACACAAACAACACCGAGGTTCTGAAATACGCCAAGGCACTAGCCATTCAAATTACCATCCCAAACTGTGTAAACAGCGTGAATGGCTTATCACTCTGGCGCTACCTTGGTAACAAATGTGTTTGGTGAGTAATTTTGACCGCAATCTTTCTCCACCTGTGATTCGGTTAACTACTGACCACGTATTATTGATCACAGACTGCAGTATGCACGTGTACAGATGCGCAGAAATCATCCTGGATACATTGCGCAAACCTGTTTTTGGCTTCTTTATTCAGATTCGGTACGGGGAAACTATGCTTCCAGCATGATTTCTATTCCGATGATAACAGTGCTATGTGTCATTGGATACATTGGCACTATAGACACTTGCTGTCGTACGTGGGTGAAACTACCAAACTCCTACTCATAGCTCGTGTACACTCCAACAGTCAACAAATGATAACGTGGACTATATAGTTCTGCTCTGTCCTATACTCCTTGCTTGTATTTGTGACCTCCTGCTACGCCTGTGTAGTTTTTAAAATAACTGACTCAGTTGTCAGACATTCCACTGAATCCTGTTGCTAGTACATCATTAGCAAGATTGTGTACCGGGGATAATGTCTGCAATTTCACGCAGATAAATCATTTTTCATTTTCCATTAATTTCCTTGTTACTTATAGCGTCATTTACGATATTCTCATTTCACCGTAACGCTTTAGTGATTGAACAGTTATAGAATTCACTGTGGCACTTCTATATCCATACCAATGATAGCATTCATTATGGGAAAAGAGATTTAATCTTGTAATAAACAAATTTCAATTTTTTTCAATTAACCAATCAAATTGAAAGGTGGGTGGCGGCGAAAAATAGTGCATTAGAAAATTATCCTGTTCCCGGTTATTTCATCCGTTAATTGCATTGGTCATTTTTCAAAGCACGGATGAATGGGGCTAAATCTGTTTGTGCACGCGATTACATTTCTCTATCACATATCGTGTCTTACCTTACGAATAAGTAGATATAAATTGTATTATATTTTTGCTTTCTATATCAACTAAAATTAAACACTTTTGTACAGTCACAAGATTAAAAAAGAAAATAATCGATTCATTCAAAGTGTTCTTAAAGTATTCTTTGGTTTAAAATCTATGAGTTGTCTTTCCACCGCCCTCCACCGACCTTCCTCAAATGCATCCAAAAATTTTTTTAAGTTAACTTGCCATCTTAGGTTAGGTATATTGAACAAACTCAATCGATTTAACTCGTTTGTGAGCTAACGAGTGAAAGAAAGAACAGATTGTCACAACACGTGTCGTCACGGTGCCCATATTTTGATCTACTGTGGTTGTTGTCATTCGATACACATGCACGCAAACTAACGGAACCAAATCATTTTTCAATTTCAACACAATTCAATCTACCGCTAAATTTGTTTGTTTGTTTTTGCTGTTACGTGTCTACTGATTCTGAATGTTCAGACTTCGACATTTAGGTACTCTCAGTTTAGAAGTCAACATTTGATCTGGATTATCCAAATCATTTCCGTGGGATATAATCGAATTACACACTTATAATATCTTTGCCACATTAAATGACCCATAGCATGATCGATTCGATTGATTATGAACATCCAAGAGTATTTCTATAGATCAACAGTGTATATCCGAAACGGACAGGCATTGGGTGTTGACCAGTTCCACGTTTGTCGAGTTTCAGTCGACAAAAGTGTTCGAGATTCTCCAAACGGTTCAAGCAAATACTACTCGCAGCTGGGCGAAGTTGGAAAAGTGTTTACACTGCGAAATGGAACGTTAAAAACGTGGGTCAGCGCTCAGTCTATTGAGGGAATTCGAACTAGGTAATAGTCTGCTCTGAAAATTTGTATCACAAGAGTTTAATCACTTTCAGTTTATCGAGCACGCAAATTTACATCCAATTTTCAGGAAGAGTGCTACGGTGAATCAAAGGACGCCTGGGGATAGTGCAGAAATACGACAGACGAGTGGTGGTGGCAGTATTTAAACGAAGGATCTCCGGATTGCTGTTAAGCCTGCCTTAACAGTCGCCAACCACAATTACTCTTCTTTGTGGAAAGGGAATGTATTAACGACCGGCACACCACACAGGGAGCTACCCCATGAAAGTGTGTAAATCGAACGAATTGGAGTTCTTTTTTTTCCCTGTATTTCTTACAACGAACCCAATCTGCATATCATGCCTATTTATTCAACTTTCAACGTTGCTATAAATAAAAAATGGTGAGTTTCTTTCTTTTACAAAGCTCGTTTGTGGGTGATTGGTTGTAAGAAATCGACTGAATTAAGTAAAGTATAAATCGAAATATGGCTAAATCAATGTGTGTTAACCAATCGCTTACTCGTGTTTCCTTCATCATAGAGCTCCTGCTTTAACGGCATGAAGTTGATTGGTGAAGATTGTTGGCCCCTGATTCATTGTTCTGTGTATATAACGTGTAGCTTCTTGGCTCATGCTAAATCGGACTGTTGGATTACCATAGATTTTCCAGTTCATTGAGGTTACATGACTGGGAACCATCCATCTCGTATATAAATGAATGAGCGTTAACCAATAGATCTTAGGCAATTGGTCCACAATCTCAAGGAACCATTACTCTGGTGTACATCTTCGCTACGTAATAACAACATCTAACGTGAAGGAAACTGAGGTTTTAAGTGTGATAGTTTTCACTGTTAGTAACCTCGCTAACTTAAAACTCTCCAGCTAGAGTGAGGTTGGTATCCAGACCTACCACGCCGTGTTAGCACTTTGAATGTTCAAAACGCATACCGAAAATAGCTACATTATCACTTCAACCACTCAGAGAAGCTCGCGAACAGCTTGGGTTTTCGGTTCGCACTGCACCGAATCTGTGGTTTACTATGAATGATAAAGGTATTTGGTTAGATGAAGAATGATAGATAGGCAACTGGTCATAGTTCTATTAAACAGTAACGTGTGCTGATTAAATCTTAAATAAATAAATTTACAACGGAATAACCTTAGAATAAATTGATGAATACCGCCAGAACTCACTTAATGAAACCTTTATTTCAAAACGTGTATGTTTTCAACATATTTATGATGTGTACCCGAGTCTCGTGTTGCTTTGGCATCATGATAGTTAATAAACCATATATAAGTATGAAGCAGGAACGCTCCGGACAATAGACAACTAACCTTGGTGTGTGGCTATTTCTACTCAAACCAGAAGAGCGGATTTGCATGCAATCTGAAGCATTACGATCGTTTTGGGAGCAAAGCTATCGCAAGAACTATTGTGTTTTAAAATGGGAACCAATTTGGATTACGACACCCCTGACGAGTTGTACTTGTTTAATACGCGAAAAGTAAATTATGAACGGGTTATGAAATGTTGACGTATTAACGCAAGTTATGACACATTGTGTAGAAATCAAATGAGATCCAGTCTAGGAACCACAGGTGCTAATTTGACTTGGAAAATCCAAAGTACCACACAGTGCAAAGTGAGTGCACGGTTCCAGGGCTGTTACAAAGCGTGTTATTCAATGACAATATCTAGCGAATCTTTCATTGCGCCTCTAAGTGCTCGATTAGTAAGTCATGTTAGTTAACTACATGTGTTTTCTATCAGCTCACTCAACCAAGCGGACTATATTACTGAAATCGGGGAAATTATATGCTTACGCTGTAATTTCCGAATTCTTTTTGGGTAATAGTTAAATCAAATAGCCACGTTTATTACATCACATTACTTCAAACGAAAAATTATGTATCCTCTGATAAGACAATCCAGAGACCACGAATGTATCTTACTTTCTTTACGAAACCTGTATTACTTGATGAAGAATCACCGCCCTGAATTGAAAGTTTCAGAAATGAACACAAGTAAATGTACGGAATGTTATATAAGCAAATCGGTATTCATGGACAATTTTTACCATTTATGTCTAATTCGCTCAAGGTTGGATTTGGTTTATCCAATTTTGATCGAATTGTTGTATTCAACGTGGACGACTCCATCATACGGTTTATGTCCTGTTCTAGTTTGTTTAAATCGCGATCCATGTCTGCTATACTGGAGGAGAACTTCGATTCCATATCGTTTAACGCTTTTTGTATGGATTTCATGGTTTTATCCAATTTTCGACCAATCAAATCCAATTCTTTTCGACAAGCTTCTTCGGATCCATTGTTCAGTAGGAGATCATCCGTGGCAGATTCCTTGGTGTTGTCCATTAGGTATTCTTCTTCGCTTAAGAATATTACGCACTCCAATCCTCCAGTCAAATTATCATTTGAATCGTTTGAGCGACTTCAAGTCAGGTGATCTCTGGGTAAATCGAAAATTCACGGCCGTCCTTACTGCACATCGCACGATAAAAAGTAAGATAAAATCAGCTGGAATTCTGAGCCAGCTTATTAAAACCTACACTAGCGTAAATACGTTGGTTTTTCACACCCGAATGTGAACGTGATAGACACGCGATCATTCAATTTATTTTAACATCATTTTAATAGTACTCCTTTAAAAACACGTGACCTTTGAAGTTAAGTTATTTAACTAACAGTTCAGTGGAATTTTCCACTGTGCACTCGATGAAATTTAATGGCATTATTTGAGCGATTGACCGCACGTATTGCTTAATAAAATGAGAGTGTAAAGCAATATGTAAAAGGGGAACAATCACCAAAGAATTGTATCGGCCGAATGTGCGCTTGGGCTGAGCTGTTAAGGATCCTTTTTGATAAAGTTATTTGGTTAAATGATGAATGATAGATAGGCAACTGGTCATAGTTCTAGTAAACAGTAACGTGTGCTGATCAAATCTTAAATAAATAAATTTACAACGGAATAAATTGAATAAATTGATGAATTCCACCAGAACTAACTTAATGAAATGTTTATTGCAAGATTTAAAGCTTTTTCGATCGTGAAAATGTAATATTCTAATAAACACGAATTACTAGTCACAAATAATACAAGTAGCCGCCTGTCACAGTCTATCGTCAAAAATAGACAATGAAAAGGCTACACAAGTGGTGTTTCATGTATTGAAAATCAATAGGATTAAATAAAAATGTACCGAGATGTCATTGTCTAAACGGATCTCAACCAATTACTCGCCTGTGAGCTCTTAGTCAAGTAGCTTCTGTTTGAACTACCTGGTTTCTGATTGGTCCAACGCGTTCATTGATATCAGGAATGTACCTACAGTAACACACTTTTTTCTAATATAAATTTGGCTGTTTTTCTACCTTTTCAATCCCGGTTCGTCTTTTGATTGGTTGCTTCACACTCCCTGGGCTCTTTATCATACTTGGACTTTGACCCAATTATTCATGTTTGCGTCATTCCTACTCACGAGAATACACAAATGTTCTAAAATACTCCAGAATATTCTATCAGTCAGTAGGAACCTGTGAAGTTTCTATCTCTAAATGGTCAGCTTAGATTAGAAAAAGAAAGTGGTCATGTTGAAAATAAGACGTCAGTTGCACGACCCTTTAAAAAATGACCGTACCCCTTCTATTGGCAAGCACCATCAGTGGTTTTCTGCTCGCTAAAAGACCAGATTTAATAAACACTCTTGAATCAGAGATTCACAGGAACGTCTGAATTAGTTGCATTCAACGATCCTGGCCGAATCCGGACATTTACATTTTAATCATACGGATCAGCAAATTTAAATACTCTCGATAGAATCAAGTACCGACTAAAAACAAGAAGGAAGATGGCACTATCACATTTTAAGTTTAAATTGAATCTATGATTATTTTCTTAACTTTTTTTTGACCGTTATATTATTGAATCAAACACCCAATAAAGAAACACTAACATGTACAAAGCATTATAATGAACCTAGCCCGGTCACCAACTTTTTCGGTTTGTAAGTAACTCAAACTACACCAGTGCATATACACCACCGTGTTTGAATTTAACTGATTTATACTTTTCCCTAACTTGAAAAGACTCGGTCCGTGATAGAGTGATGAAAAGTCATTCAAATATTTTCAGTACTTACACTCGAGATCCCCATTCCCATCAGTGTTCACTTTGTCCTCCTTGTCCGGCACAAAATAGACGAACGCGAGGCGTTTCAAATCCTCTCTTAATCTAACTAGATCAGGCTTCGTCTTCGAAACGTATCTATTGCAGAAATCGCACTTATTGGCAAATTCCGATTTGTTACATTTCACAGTTCCTTCCGTACAAGGTGCTTTGGGATTGTGTCGAACTGGTAATTAGGACCAATCAGTCCACTCTCGATCTGTATTGCCATGTATTAATTGCAATAGGCACTACTGATGTATCACAATTGTATATAAAACACGGATTCCCACTGGAAATCCTATGCAAGAATCTCCCGTTTCCAAGATGTAGGAAAAAGGATGCACCAGTAGCAAATGGTTTATTGAAAGAACGCTATGGTTTAAATAATATGTAAATCGAAATATCAATAGTTAACACAACACAAGGTAACCGGGTAACAAGACATCGGTTAGAACACAGTGGACTTTGATTGGCTGATAGCAGTCCTCCGTGGTCCATTGCTCAGAAACTGGAATCCTTAGCTCTTAAGCAGGCATTATCTCGGAAGTTTCAATCAATAAACTTCATGAAAAATTCTGTTATTATAAAACAACTGATTGCTGCCTCTGTGCCGTGAACCAGGCCAACAATATGGCGCCTGCCCTGGAGCGGCCCGTTACACTTTCAGGACATTTGCGATCAATCAAGTTTGAATGCTGACGTCAATGACACGTGCATGGCTTCTCAATACACGTCATTGGTGGATGGTGCCAGCCAATCCAAGACAACGCAGACAGAAGCAAGATTATGCAAGCAGTACCGCAATCCGATTGGTGAAAGCCCAGACAGCCAATAATCTCACTTTGTACATATTATTTAATCACATTCATTTCTTCCAATAAACCAACTAATTACTGCCAGTCCTGTGGCCTTGTCCTCGCGTCTCGTTCTCGTGAGACATTGCGAATCCGTGCCATAGTGATTCAGTGCTTCTGTGATCCAGTCCGTGATAGCTGATTATCGATTCGTGTCCAGTGATTCATATTGTGTGGTTGGTGTTCCGAATTCCTACGTATAACTACTAACACCAAAATCATCACACGCAATCACCAACAGCCCACACGTAATCCCCGTCATTGATAATGTGATGATCTTAGCTTATGGGATCACGCCAATCACGGGGTGACACG